TCACAAACACACTTGAGCAGTGCCAGTCCAGTCTGCGTCGATCCATGGGAACGAGAAATTCACCCAAAAAGGCCTCGTTACACATGTGGTCCTCGCTGATGCCTGCACGTAACGAATCATCCAACGTCATGTTGAATATGTCACTTGGATACTCTCTGCCACAAATCTTGTTCGACATAATAATGCAAGCTAGGGTTTCGTTGTACTGAACTCTGCAGTAGAAAAGATGGAAACACTCGTCTCAGGCCTAGGATTGCCCGAGCTTTAGCCATTTGGAGTTCATTGATTTGGAGTTAGAATGGCCGGTGGGGGTAGGAGGCGGGGGGAGGACGAAAAGATCCTCACTCCACCAGCCCTAGTTTTTAATTCCTTTTCTTTCCCTGAGGGAGGAATATTTCAAGATTCTGCTTTCTTTGTCTGCTAAAAGCCGCCAACCACAAGTTTCTTGTAGTCACGCAATGCTTCGTTGGATGCGAATTAATCACAAAATGATAACCAACATCTTCACAATTATGCTCTGATCGTTTCCGGTGATTTTCAACAAATTTCAGCTTTTCTTTTTTCGACGAAAACATAAACTGAAGGTTGTATTCTGCCTGTCTGACGCAGGAAATAAAAATAGAAGCTACCTCTCGCGCGTGTTTGAGGCAAATCGAAAACGTAGAGCTTCCCAGACAGGACAACTTTATCTCTAATAATGGCCAATAACATTCTAAAAATTCAAGCAAAAAGTCGGGGCATAAATGTACGAGTCTTTTACAAGAAAGCGATAGCAGAAGTTCAGTGCCATCAGGAAATTGTTGGGCTGAAATTCTTCTTCGTCCTTTCAAGTATGCACCTCCACGCTCCAGTTAAAGTCTGGACGACTTGAAACCGCATTATCAAGATTTTACACCTCAGCAATGACCAAAACCCAGAAAATATCTTAGACGTAACAAACTTACCCACAGTCTCCTTTGGGGTCATTTTGAACGTTTTTGACGAATTGTGTCATGCACTTTCGCGTATCGCAGAGGTACTCCGTAAGAGTACAGTCGGTGAAGTT